AGAGTTTCAGCAAGATTATTTAGATGGCTTTCAAATGTCTTACTGGCCACAACTACATCATCCAGATACGCTAGCGTGTGTCTCCCAAGCACACTTGACAGCACAACATTCATCGTCCTCTGGAATGTAGTTGGGGCCGTGGATAACCCAAAGGGCATTCTTTGAAACTGGAAGAGGCGTGCTCCATCAGTAAAAGCTGTTTTTGGCCTATCTTCCTCAGCTACCTCTATTGCCCAATATGCTGCTCTACTGTCCAGTACGGTATACCAAACATTGCCGTCAAACTGTCTATGACCTCGTCGATTCGAGGTAAGGGATAACTATCAGCAGCAGTGACATGATTCAAGCCCCGGTAGTCAACACAAAAGCGAACTGTCCCATCCTTTTTCCTTACTAGGACTACCGGAGAGAGCCAGGGTGACGTGGAAGGCTCAATAACCCCTTGCTTAAGCATTGTGTCACACTCTGAACGTATCAGCTCCTTGGTTGCCTGAGGAAGACGCCACTGCCTAACGCACACAGGTTGATCTGTTTTAGTAACAATGTGGTGCTGTATACCAGGCACCTTACCGATAGTTGCTTTGTCCCCAGAGAAGAGTCGAGGAAACTTATTCAAAACTTTACCGAGTTCCTCTTGCTGCACAGAATCTAAGTGACCCAAATCTACCTGTTTACTTGGTGAATCACTACTTTCTACTACATTAATGCCTGATTTATTTGGAGAGAGGACAGATCATCAGAGCAGGCATCAGAACCACTCAGAGCTGGAGTATCTGGGAAAAAAAATACTCTTCGTCTGAATAACCAAAGTCCTGTGTTGCATAATATTCATCAAGACTATCGAAACTAAAGTTACAGAGCTCGATATCATCATCTGAAGTATCTGAAGGACACTCGGCTACTTGTTCATCTGCTGGCCATACCTTGCAAGATCTAGGGGCCAGTTCATCTGCGTCTATTTCAGCAAGGGAGTGTACCTGAGTAGTGGCATCAGTGAACTTGGGTTGTGAAAACTCGGCAGCCTCTGGGCTGAAATCTCGTCCTGCATGCCCAGTTGAGGAGGGATGAGTCACTGTATCCTCCTTCACCCTGGGTTCTTTTCCTGTCACATTACCCTCTGCACTAACATCCACCAACTGCTCTGCTCCTACTTGCTCTGCAAAACCTATACAAGTACCCTGTGTCAATTTCCTTTGTTTTGCATCTGGATTTACCACCCAAACTGACGTTCTTCTGCCCTGTACAGCAGAGATGGAGCGAGGAACAATGAACTTTGGGTTTGTTCCCTCCACTAAAATTGCCCTAGACTCTGGGAGACCTCTAGCAACAGCAGCACTAACAAACTGCCCTGACTTAGGCTCAATGAACTCTGTCTGAACCACATGAACCGGAGCTATGCGGAGGGTCTGTGTTGCCCTTCTTTCTTAGCTACTTCTACCACCGAAGGCACAGACACACAGCCCAAACTGTCCTCTCCAGTGTACTTGATTGGGAAAATTGACTCCACCTAGCAACAAATAAGCCTTGGAAGATTTGTTACCGGTAAATAACTTCATGTCTACCTGCGTAGGAAATCCATTCCCATCAGCAAGTCTCCTGGAAAATGAATTTTATCTGCAACACAAACACGATGCAAAAGTTTTGATTCACCTATAGTAAAAAGTACATCCATTTCTCCAGTACTGACATCGCAGCCCCAGCAACGCCCTGAAGTTACTGCTACGTAATATCTTTGTGTCAGACAAACTAGAGGCCACTGAAGCTTTAAGAATGGTGACTTCGCTACCTGTATCAACAAATGCTGTCAGGACTTTACTATTGACCCGAACCTGGATTGTTGGTCTCCCTTTGGGAGACACGACTTGTGGGCTCACATGAAAAGTTTCCTCTGCCGGCAGGAAGTGTCGTGGCCTGCCGGCGCGACGGAAAGGGACATGCCGCCGCGAAATGACCCTGTTCACCACAGACATAACACAACCCTTGACCCCTCATACACTCTGATGTATTATGGCTACTAACCCTATGATAGGTGCACCACTTCTTAGGGCGCACTGCCTGAAATTGTCGTTGCCTAGGAGAACCCGGCTGACCCCTCTCATTGTCAAAGTTGTGGGAATGGCCTGGGGAACCTGTCTGAGTTGCCTGAGTAGCCTGAACAGAAAAAGGTTGTCTGAATAAAAATCGAGACCAGGAACACTTTCAGCAGTAAGGGACGTGTAGTAGGTGGGTAGGTAAAGGTAGAAGACGAGGGAGGTGAGGCACGGCTGAGATGCCTGGCCGCCACAATGACGGGAAACCTGAGTGGCGAGGGGAAGAGACATTCGTAGACCTGTCCAATCATTCCAGGCACACTGTACCCGCTCAGCCATGGCTCGAGCCGAGGAGAACGTGTGCAAGGAAAGTTGGCGCTGCAACCTTTCTGGCAAGCCAGCCTTGAAAGTCCTCCTAATGAGTCCCTCAGCATCACCTATCTCGTGAGGATAATCCCTCACACCCTGGAACACCGCCATCTCGACCTGCTGATAATAGTCAAGCGGCGTCTGACCTGGAATCATTCTACTCTGTGACAGCATCTCGAAAAAACTTTCACTGGTGCAGGTACCTCTAAATTTCATGCGAAGCTGAGCTTTAAATTCTGTCCACGAAGAAATAAACTCACCGGGGAGAGCAACAAATACTGTGCATATCCCCTGGCCCTAGCTTTAGCAACACGAATAAAATTATCATCTGTAGGAGGTCTTGCTAGAGCCTCAATGGTACTAATCCAGGCCTCTACTTCCTGATTGCGAACCAGAGGCATTGATGCTGGTGTATCCCCTTTAAATACTGGGACCTCTTCACGCCCCAAATAAATGGGATGAGGTGTGTGGCTATAATCTGAGGTCGTGGGTAATTGCCCTACAGAATGACAGCATGCATGACGTGCCTGAGGCTGTGGCCTGGGGAGGCATGACTCGCGGGCGTCAGGCCTTCCGAAGGCCCACTAGCTAACTGTGGAGGTGGGACGCTCCCCGAGAAAGTTCGGGAGTGGATGCTCCAGAGCGAGGCTCATGCGGAGTCCGTAATTGCCGCATCTCTTCTCGCAGGTGCCGGTTCTGTCCTTCTAAGGTATCTATCCTATGTAAGGCAGCCTCTAATTGAGCCTGAAGGGCTCCTAATTCCAATGGGGCAGCACCCTGGAGAGGGGCACTGTCATCACCCTCCTGCATGGACGCACCATCGGGAGCACGTGGCTTCCCTGCACATCATGGACCGGCATAATAGCGACACTGAGCTCAACTGGAGTATTGGCGCGACTGCCCTTCTGACCGCTTTTCTGGCCTGCCCTCGTCCTAGCCATCAGCCTCTTAGAAATACGAACAAGAGACCTTCTCTGAGCGCGGTTACAAGTACTTACTGTTCCCCGAGAATCTTCGCTCAACAAGTCAGCACAGCCACAAGAGACCAAGTCATCTAATAACGTAACCCGGTACTGTGGAAGACATACGAAATATACATGAGAATATGAAACGAATTACACTTCACACTCGTACATCACTATACATATCACTTTACGCATCACTTGTCACTGCACTTTAACACACAGCACCGATTATGACGGTGTCACCACTGAACACAACAATATGCACATTACAACACCATAACACCATATGCTACACAGAGGCAGGGCATCATTCACCATAATACTTTCATTCACTACAAGAAAAAGCAAATACGTATTCACGCCGCTAACACCCACTAATCATACTTTACCATATACACTGTCGCTCGTTGTCGCTTCGGCCACAGTTCACGCAAGAACCAGGTGAAAGGCAGGGCTGATCTTCAACACCACAGTATCACAGTATTACGTAGTAGACAGCAGCACATCACAAGCTACGGGTACAAGGGAGAGCAGTATCCCGAGATCTCACAATACATACAAAAATAAAAATGGATGACTTAAGAACATGAATAAATATATATCAATGGCAGGTCAGCTTTTCACATACTAGGGTTAACCAAAGTTATAATGTGTTCACTATTATCATTGCATCAAATGGTATTATACTAGTCATCAGCCTAAAGAATTTTT